CTGGGTTTTAGGGCCATAGCCCCTGGAGTTTCGCCGATTTCTCTTTGAAACTACTTCCAAGTATTCATGCTCTTCCTCGGATAAGATGTCATCCTCAGATATCTCACCTTCCTCACTTGAAACAACGTCTGACGAATCAGGCTCAGCCTCAGACACCTTACCATTCTCGTTATCAACACTCATAACCACAGCTTTTTTCCCTGCAGCTTTGCTTGAGTCTCCTAATAACAACACCAAATGGCCAACAGCTGGCTTGTCAGCTTGTGTCCCCAGCTTTGGTTTCTCCCTGTAAATATTTTCCTTATCCTGATCAATAATTGCAGGGTGAGAACTAGCCTCAACAGGCAGATTTTTTACGAAAGATACATTACCGAGAACTTTTGACAAATCAATCTGAGAATGTATTAGATTAAGAGATAAAGGAAAGGATGATTTCTCATTAATCTGAAAATGTACTGTACAAATAGTATTTATACTAAACATAATTACAGCTGTATATACTAAATAACTATATACAATTATATGCTTAATACCCCCCCCTCAAGTCGAAGTCTTCAAGCCGGAAGAAAGAGACTTGAGAAAGCATAACGAGACATGAGCATCTTGAATGTCTTTGGAGGCAAAGCTTTTGTGAACAAATCGGCAAGCTGATTATCTGTAGTCACATGGAGCAAGTTCAGAAAACCAGCTCGCAACCGATCACGAACAATGTGGCAATCTATTTCTATGTGCTTGGTGCGTTCATGAAAGACTGAGTTTGAAGCAATATGTATCGCTGCAGTGCTGTCACAGTAAAGGTTTGCAGGACCAGTAACCTTGATGTGAAGATCTCTGAGAAGTTGGCTTAACCAAAGAAGTTCACAAGTTGTGTCTGCTAAGGCCCTGTATTCAGCTTCAGCACTACTTCTGGAAGCAGTTTGTTGTTTTTTGGCTTTCCAGGAGATCAAAGAATTGCCAAGAAAAACACAGTAACCTGTAGTAGATCTTCTGGTGTCTTGACATGTGCCCCAATCAGAATCTGAGAAAGCCTGCAGCCTGATCTCAGACTGAACAGAGTAGAAAAGACCTCGGCCTGGATCACCTTTTAAATATCTGACTATACGGTGAGCTGCAGCAAGATGATCAGTCCTTGGTTGAGCCAAAAACTGGCTCAATTTGTGAACTGCAAAACTAATATCAGCCCTGGTTATAGTAAGATATAGAAGTTTACCAATGAGAGCTCGATAAACAGTAGCATCAGGTAATAGATCCCCACTCTCTGTAGTTAACTGAATCGTTGAATCCATTGGTGTAGCAACTGGTTTACTGCCAAGAAGACCAACACTATCCAACAAGTCAAGAGCGTATTTACGTTGACACACAGAGATCCCTGACTGATTTCGTGCTATCTCAAGACCAAGAAAGTACTTGGCAGGACCTAGGTCCTTGATTTTGAAAGAAGCAGCTAAAATGGCCTTGAGATCAGATACAGCCATGTCACTATTACTTGCAATCAAAATGTCATCAACATATACTAATAAAGCAATAAAAGTATTGTTGACACATTTGACAAACAAGGTATGTTCAGACTCTGATTGAACAAAGCCATCTCTCAACAGTACTTCAGAGAATTTCTTGTTCCATTGCCTAGAAGCCTGCTTGAGGCCATACAGAGATTTATGAAGTTTCCAGACAGCATTTGGAGGAAGTACTTGACCTGGTGGTGGAGTATAACCCGGAGGCAAGTCCATATATATCTCTTCTTCTAAATCTCCATGTAAAAAAGCGTTGGTAACATCCATTTGAGTCAGAGACCAACCATGTTTAGCAGCTAAGTCCAGTAGTAACTTGACAGTAACAAGCTTAGCGACTTGAGAAAAAGTGTCAATATAATCCACACCCTCTTGCTGTGTGAAACCTTTTGCTACCAAACGGGCTCTGTATCTGTCAACTGTTCCATCAGCATTATGCTTAATGCGATATACCCATCTGCAACCTATAGGCTGTTTCCCTTCAGGTAAAGAGACAACAGAGAAAGTGCCTGTATCAACACAAGTCTGAAGTTCTTCATTCATAGGTGCATGCCATTTTTCAGATCTGACAGCTTCAAGAAAAGTCTTTGGTTCTGACTCTGTTGAAATGTTCAGTATAAACTGCTGATAGTGCAGATTCAGTTTTGAGTAGTCAATAACAGATGACAAAGGATGGGCTGTATTACCACTGGGAGTTGGTATATTCTGAACCAAATTGCAGTGATAATCCGAAAGGTATGATGGCACACGAGTGTTTCTCTTAGGCCTGTTTGCATTAACAGGAATAGTATTCTCTGACTCCCCTGAAGAACCACTACTATTTGATAAAACTTCAGAAGAAATGGAAATAGGAGGTGAAAGAGATGTATCTGGGATAGGAAGAGGAAGAATGCTTGGGGAGAAAAGATCTAAAGTAGAAGAAGGAAGCTCAGAAGACTGAAAAGGATATATGTCTTCATGAAAAATGACATTTCTGGAAATAGAGATTGAGTGAGTTTCAAGATTGAGGACTTTATAGCCCTTGTAACCAGAGGGATAGCCAATAAAAACAGAAGCTTCTGCTCGAGGAGAGAATTTGTTTCTATCCTTTGGATAAGTAGAGGCATAACAAAGGCAACCAAAATTTTTTAAATGAGAGTATTTAGGCTTTTTGTTCATGAGAAGATCATAAGGAGTTTTGTTTTGTAATAAAGGAGAAGGAGTTCTGTTAATGAGATAGACAGAAGTTCTTATACATTCACTCCAATATGTAGGAGGAAGATTTGATTGAAAAAGAAGTGCTCTAGCAACATTTAGAATATGTTGATGTTTTCTTTCTACCACAGAATTTTGTTGTGGTGTATCAACACAAGAAAAGTAGTGAAAGATGCCTTTAGATTGAAGAAGTGATGTAAAAGATAATTCAGGAGCATTATCAGAACGAATAGCCTTTACTTTAGTAGCATGTTGTGTTTCAATAGAATTGAGAAAAAAAGGAAATACTTGTAAAACATCATTTTTATTTTTCAAGAGATAAATCCAAGTGACACGAGTACAATCATCGACAAGAGTAAGAAAATATCGAAAACCTTCATGAGAAATAACAGAGAAAGGACCCCAAACATCCATGTGAACAAGATCAAAAGGTTTCTGAGAAAGATTATTAAGAGAAGGAAAAGATAAACGTTTTTGTTTAGCTAAATGACAAGTCTTGCAATGGGACCAATCTTTGAGCATTGCTTTAGAAATAGAGAGATCTTCAGCTAAAACTTGAATCTTAGGGAAAGATGGATGACCAAGCCTTAAATGCCAAAGAGAACTAGACTCAGGAACAGAGAGATTGCAAATAAGAGATGAAGAGAAGGATGATACCATATTAGATTAAGAGATAAAGGAAAGGATGATTTCTCATTAATCTGAAAATGTACTGTACAAAGAGTATTTATACTAAACATAATTACAGCTGTATATACTAAATAACTATATACAATTATATGCTTAATAGAATGAAAAAGCAGAGGTGAATGTAATATAAAAAGGAGGCGCCGGTTTGAAGAGAAGCAACACGTACTTTGCCCTCTGCTGTCATCTGATAAAGACTACTTCCAAAGGAAACACGAACCTCAAGACCATCAAGGTAGCAGAGTAAAAAAGATCAATCTCTTGCTCACGATTCTCATCACCCTTGTTACTATCTCGCTCCTCCATGTCTCTTCTTCTTCTTCTTCTTCCTCTACTGTTGAACATTCTTTCTTTCTTGTTTTCATACATTCTTGTTCCAGCACCCATAGTATCTCGGGAGGTTTCATGTTTAAGACTTTGGTAAATAACTATAAGTTTGTTACCAATGATCTAATTCAAAATCGTGTTGTGGTTGCAGGGTATACAATTCCAGCAGGATGGATTGTATTGGTTGTTCCATCTCTTCTTCATTATGACCCTCAAATCTATGAACAACCATGTGAGTTTAATCCATGGAGATGGGAGGGGAAGGAATTGCTTTGTGGCTCTAAAACGTTCATGGCGTTTGGTGGTGGTGCAAGACTATGTGCAGGAGCAGAGTTTGCTAGGCTTGGGATGGCTATATTTCTTCATCATCTAGTCACAACGTATGACTTGTCTTTGATCGATAAATCTTATATCATTCGAGCACCCTTGCTTCGATTCTCCAAGCCGATACGCATAACGATCTCCGAGAATCCTTTAAGTTCATCCCATCAATATGCAAATCTTTTTTAGTATTGTGTTATGAAGATATATCGAAACACGAAAGAGGATACAAAATCTATCTTGTGACATATGTGAAAATACCGTATATATCTTTGTTGTGTTATCCTTAGGAGAAAAAAAACTTTTACTTTATTTTATAAAGATAAATGACGAATTTATATATATAAATATAATCCAAGACTCTTGTGGAATATTCATAGGTATCCTGATCCTAAATAATCTCTGACCCAATGAATCCTCGAGTATATATATATATAATACACAGCCTAATGGAAGATTTTACGTTTCTTTATTTTCCCATTAAATAATTTCCTTCAATGGCGTGGGGATTGCTGGAGGTTGCTCTTTTTGTGATCGGCGGTATATTCTACTTAATCCTATTGGCTCTTCTATACCTAATTTTTAAACTAGGTTTAATTGAGGAACATAGATCTTCGTCGGAAGCCAAGAACTGCATATGCACATGCAACCACTGTCCGGACTATCATGAGGATATCGAGGAAGCACTTAGTAAATCCAATCCAAGTTCAAGCATATTACCATTATCTAAGGATTAGCCATAGATTATTGGTGTTATTTTTTGCACCAAAAAAAAAATAGATTGGTGTTATTTTAGACTCTTTTTACTTCTATTTAGACCTTTTTTTTTATGAAAAAATATATCTATATGTATGGTCAAAAATATTAAGCTTGCCACACATAGATGAATAGTTGTGTGTGTGATATTTTGACCTGCGAGTGAGGGAAATGAGCTTCTTCCTATGTTGTGTGTGTGACTTGGATCAAGAGCTGCATCAACCTGAATAATTCAAAATCATTGATTGTAACACGGATCAGTTTTTTACGAAAGATACATTACCGACAACTTTTGACAAATCAATCTGAGAATGAAAAAGCAGAGGTGAATGTAATATATAAAGGAGGCGCCGGTTTGAAGAGAAGCAACACTTACTTTGCCCTCTGCTGTCATCTGATAAAGACTACTTCCAAAGGAAACACGAACCTTAAGACCATCAAGGTAGCAGAGTAAAAAAGATCAATCTCTTGCTCACGATTCTCATCACCCTTGTTACTATCTCGCTCCTCCATGTCTCATCTTCTTCTTCTTCTTCCTCTACTGTTGAACATTCTTTCTTTCTTGTTTTCATACATTCTTGTTCCAGCACCCACAGTATCTCGGGAGGTTTCATGTTTAAGACTTTGGTGATTCTACCTTGCATGATGAGAAAGTGTGGATTGTTGACATTATTAAGCTGCACAGAGTGGAAAAGATTCTGGACTTGACTAGGTTGTGCAAGCTTCCCATTTATCAAATGCTTGTTACTACCACTAACTGCAATCTTTGACACCATAAAATACATCACTGTGAGTGTGAGCAAATATAAAAGAACCATTCCACCATAGCCTTAATATTATCCATCACAAGATTGAGACCGAGTAGATTCGTGTGGTTATACCCAGTTAAAGTGAGAGGATTAGGATCAGTGTTACCTTTTGACACGATTACTTTCTACAATAATCTTCAGGTCCAAAGTAAAAACCAGCATGCAGTCTCCTTGTTAGCCACAAAGAAAAAGAAATTTATCTGCTTTTGGCTTTTGGCTTTCCGTCTTAAATCTTTATGTAGCAGCATCGGCTTCCATGATTTGGTTTGAGGAAATGCAACGATCATTTATTCACACTCGAAGAATCAGGAACGTATTTTAGTCGAACCATAACCTTCTCAGCTGCCTCCCATTTTAGAAAAAAACAGCGAGTAGACCCTGGCATGTTTGAAATACTTAGCTTACAAGCACAAATGCTTTTGTCGTCAGCCCTTCTTTAAGGAAAGCACTAATGATAACACTGTACATTATGTTGTCAGCTTCAATTCCTGCAGCATATAGCAAACATTTCAGATCTTCTATCCATTTGATCATATACCCGTTTAGAAGAGATGTGTAGACAACAACATTAGGCATCAGGTTCGCCTTTTTATATTTGGTTACTTACTTGATAATTATTCAGTTAGTTTTCCATTTTTGATTTTATTTTTTCTTAATTAAATTTAAATTTTAACACATATCATCAGCCCGATTATATTATGTAAAAAGCTATATAATTGGGTGACAAAAAAAAACTATATTATGTAATATATAAAGGGTTATTTTATAATAACCCAAGAAAATTTATATATATAATAGGAGAGTTCTCTCTCCTCTTAGGGTGTCCACATCATCACCAAATTAATATGATGGATCCCACCAATAATTATTTTAAAATATTTAATTTTATAGTTAATTACATCTAATTATCTAAGAAGTAATTTTCAATTAATGCATAATTTTAAATAAAGGTTATTTGTTATTTGAATAATAATAACACAAGTGTAACATATATACATATAAAACACTTAAAATTAAATTTTTGCTAATATATAACTTAAAATGAACATAATCCCTAAATATATAATTAACAAATAAAAAATAATAATGAAAAGTCATAGAAATACCAATGTTATTTAATATGGGCAAAATGATTCTTAATGAAATTTACTATACAAGTAATTTTCAATTAATGCATAATTTTAAATAAAGGTTACTTGAATAATAATAACACAAGTGTAACATATATACATATAAAACACTTAAAATTAAATTTTTGCTAATATATAACTTAAAATGAACATAATCCCTAAATATATAATTAAGAAATTAGAAAATAATAATGCAAATTTCATAGAAATACCAATGTTATTTAAGAGGGCAAAATGATTCTTAATGAAATTTATTATACAATTACAAAAAATAATAACTTATTAAAAATAAAAAAATAAAAAACGTTTAAAAACAATCATTTTTTTTGAGATTAATAAGGAGACCTCAAATATAATTTAGGATGAACAAAAGAATTGAATTGAATTGAAATGGAAGACTATAAGAGTTTTTTTTTAATAATAAGAAGATATTCATATTTGTTGGAAACATTAACTTGAAGAGATGATAATGAAGTGGAAGAAATCTATTTAAAATAGTATATTTTTAGATTAAAAATAAATGGTTAAATGTTATAGTAAACTTATGATTGTATAAGTTTTCTTAAGATATAAGAAATAATTCATTTTTAAAATTGGAAATTATATTTCAAGAAAGTAAAAGTATAAATTCACATTGACGAAAAAATAGAAAGATTGATTGTATCTTAATATTAAATTATAGTAAATATATAACAACTAAAATAATATAGTTATATTTATATTATTGTTTTCTTTCTAGATAAAAAAAAGTGAAAATATTTAAATATAGGTAAAAATTTAAATAAGTGTTGAGACAATTTTCATAAATATATATCTTCCGTAAAAGTATATTACACTCAAACATGAAAATTATATAATTAAAAGAAGAAGAAAATGAGAAAATAGTTTTAAGTTAAGAATGAATTCAAAGTTTTATTATATGTAAATGAGCATATAAGATAAAAGAAGAGTAGATGTTGGGAGGCAAACAAGTGCATCATAGAAGATGACGAAAAAATGATAGAAAAAAATGTTTGAAGAGGAATTGACTAATGCTTGAAGCATCGGATATATGTATGCACATGACTTAAGTAAATTCATCGGATATATTGATGCACTATCGGATAGTTTGATTTAGTAAACCAGACTATCATATTCAACATTGAGTTAAATCATTGAACCATGTAATAAAGTGTTGTAGGATAGATAAGATAAGATAAGGACATTCATGATTTTATCAAAAAATCTCTTAATGCATGATTGTCTTGCTTCAATAGGTAAATTGTGCTCTCCAAATCTATTGAAGCAGCATGAATATTACGTTTATACATTTTCATGAAATTGATATTCAAACTCAGCAAATTTACTTTTATTATGGGGTATGATTATGTTAAAATTTCGAGATAGATATACTTACAAGATTTGATTATGGAATAAACTCTCTTTTTGACAAAAGTTCATGGATGACTACCGAGACCAATTCATCTAATATTACTTTTGTTATTACGTGGTATATACTAAATATTTTTGATAATTTTTATGTTGTGTACTGTTTTGTAAAACAAGTATGAATATGTATAGTTTTGAAATTCAAATGATTATAATTATTTTTAACATTTTGTATTGTTGCCAGTTTAAAGTTGATATCCCACGCAACGCGCGGACGAGTAAATCTAGTAATAATAATTAAGCAACTAACTGATATTAGCATATGTGGCATAATCATGACCATTAGATTTAGGTTAATTGGTTAGATTTTTAGTTATTTTTCGGATTATTCACACAAATTCCCATAAATAAAAAGGTGATTTTTGTAATAACCAAAAAAAATTATAACTCATAAATAATTTTTTTTTAGTTTTGTAGTTATTTTTACAAAATCACAGGAAATCACCAGAAACACAATCCTTAGAATTCGAGGTTTCACAAGCATGCCACAGAGCATCGGAATCAATCCGCCGGCAGAGAAAGATACTAATGCAATAAGCGAGTCCAAGATGGTGTACTTCCAATTCACTGAAAGAGAGATCAAATAAACCCAAAAAAAGAAGAAAAACTAAAAAAAAAAATGTGTACCTCCTGGATTTGTGTGAAGTCTCTGTTTCCCAAACCAACAATAACAACCGACAACGGCAAATGTGAAGCTCTCACCAATGCGTGTCTTGTTTGGACGACAAAGGGTTCAACAATACAGTGGTATAAACAAGAACTAACCCCTTATGTAATGCTACATGCCTACATTCCAAAAAAAAAAGAAATTAGGGATTCTTGTAGAAAAAATACATTTTTTTTAGAAAATCTTACGAAAATGCTATACTTTATACCAAATACCAAATATATGTATTTACTACTTTTTTTGTGCAAAATACATACTTTATACCAAATACTAAACCCTAAAAACAAATAGAATAGACTAAACCCAAACATAAAGAGTAATACTAATGTTAACTGTTAAATCATTTTTTTGTTGCTTGAAAAATGGCAAATCCACAAACTATTCAAAAAAATGGCACACTCAACAAAGATTATTCAAAAAATGGCAAATTCATAATTGATTCAAAAAATTATGTAACCACTTTGGGGACCTAAAGGCTAAAGCCACATAAGATTGCCATATGTGATCCCGAATCATCTATCAAACAAGCTCTCATATTCACTGATCTTTCATTAAGAGCTAACTTCCAATTCTAAATATTATTCAAAAGGATAATATTTGTATAAAATATGGTGTTTTATAAAACAAACTACCATAAATTTGTACAAAATTTGCTTCCATTTACTCTTATGAGCCTCCAACTCAATTCTCGCCAAACTTGTGGCAACCTATTCCTGCCAGTTCCATGTATATTGAACTAGATAAGACCCGCCTAAATAGGCGAATGTGAAAAAATAAATATAATTTTTTGATAATATTTGAAATACAAATAGTATTATACATTTATTTATACTTAATCTAAATTTTTAACCAAATTTCAATCTGACACATTCTATTTTGCAATACAATTTAACTATTTATTTCATGATAAGAAATATTTTAATTCTTCGATAAACTCCATCTTAACGGATAAGAGCTAATAATTTTAATTCTACATATTCCATCTTATTGTTTAAATTTTTTTCCTGATATTTAAATTTTAAATAAAAATCCACAAATTTTTTCTGTATTAATGTTCTAACTCTCATCTCAATTTATCAATTCTATCTAAATACTCTTAAATCATGTAAATTTTTTTTTAAACTAAATTATTAATTACTATTATGTGAGTTAAACTTTAGATATTAGTAAATTGTCCTAAATGTCTTACTCGAACATGACTATAGATCATCCTCCAAAACAGAGCTGATAAAGAATCTGGAGTTACTTGGAAAGAATATAGATCCATGATGAATTTCACCCATATGGTAGCTTTTTGTTTTCTTATTATATACTTGTTAAAAAAATGAAATTCCAAACTCGTTGCACATCGATTAAGTGATGAAAACATTTAGTTGATTGTTGCAATTGCAGGTTATCAATGAGTCTCTTCGTTTAGGGAGTTTGTCACCTGCTATGTTTAGAAAGGTGGTGAGTGATGTGGAGATCAAAGGCAAGTTTGAGTCTCTCTTTTGCGTCATGAAAATAACTATAAGTTTGTTACCAATGATCCAATTCAAAATCGTGTTGTGGTTGCAGGGTATACAATTCCAGCAGGATGGATTGTATTGGTTGTTCCATTTTCTTCTTCATTATGACCCTCAAATCTATGAACAACCATGTGAGTTTAATCCATGGAGATGGGAGGGTAAGGAATTGCTTTGTGGCTCTAAAACGTTCATGGCGTTTGGTGGTGGTGCAAGACTATTTGCAGGAGCAGAGTTTGCTAGGCTTCAGATGGCTATATTTCTTCATCATCTAGTCACAACGTATGACTTGTCTTTGATCGATAAATCTTATATCATTCGAGCACCCTTGCTTCAATTCTCCAAGCCGATACGCATAACGATCTCCGAGAATCCTTTAAGTTCATCCCATCAATATGCAAATCTTTTTTGTATTGTGTTATGAAGATATATCTCACTATTGGTAAACAAGAGATGAATGTAAGAAGCAACTAATCCTCTTTCAGTTAAAAAACTTACAACAGTATTGTTCATCCTTTATTTCATCCTCTGTCTCCTCCTCTTTTATCATTATTCTTTCTTCATACTTTCAGTTTCAGCAATTAGATGCTCATCAAAGACGGCATTCTTGGCTTGGAGATTACCATCGGTATCTTCCTCACTGCTCCATTTTCTTACGAACTTGGGAACCATGTTTTTTACATCTCGCGCCTCTGACACTTCATCCATATTATTAACTCGTTCGAACCGGACTGTACTCACTTTTCTGGCATTCCCTGCTAGTATCTATCAACAAATGTAGTTAGAGAATAAATTATGCATTTTGCAGAATGTGGTGCAAGGGGAAGTAGTACTATGAGTCGATGTACCTCTAGTCTATAAACTTGGTGCTTTTCCTTCTGATCTTGACTCTCGTGTTTACCCTCATCTTGTTCATCATTCTCTTCCCAGTTTTCCTTTTCAAGAACTACCGTCACACTCTCACATGTCTTTGGGATATACCCAAAGGCCTCACAGACAAAACCTGAGACTGTCTCATACTGATGGCCTTGCAAAAAGGGGAACAAGGATAGTTTATACTCTGCCAACAAGTAATCTTAAAGATCGGTTCTGCTTTCTAGAGGGACACACTAAAGACACAGCAACAGAGTATATTACCTCTAACATCTTTATGTTAAGTTCTTCAGATAACTGGTCAATCGAAGTGTTGGCATCAACATCATATATCCCTTCTGCTCTCATCACGATGTAACCCGTTTTCTTCTGAATCTCCTCCTATTGAGCCCAAAACAATGGCAGTGAGAAATTTAAATCTACTCCGCTCTCATATATAACCCGTTTTGTTCTGAATCTCCTCCTATTCAACCCAACCTTGAAGAATAGCAACAAGCTGAAACACTAGGATGAACTTACCTTTGAATCGTTTTCATCAAATATTTCACCAACAATCTGTTCGACCACATCTTCAAGAGTTATTATCTGCATGGAGAGAAATTAGACAACCTTTCAAGAGAGCAGGAGAGAAAAAATAAAGTTAAGAAGAGGACAACCAGCAACATACTCCAATGGTTCCACCGTATTCATTAAGAACAACTGCCATGTGAACCTTTCTTATTCTAAACTCTCTAAGAACATTCCAAACTGACATTGAATCTGCAAATTATTTGACAGAGCATCAAAGTTTATTCCATGTGAACAAAAAATGTCAAAGGTTTAGGTATTAAATTAAAAGATTGAATGCATCGATGATTACCAGGGACAAAGAATGCAGGTTTATGTGCCATGTCCACCACAGTAGTACTTTCAAGCAAGTTACCCTACAAAACAGAAGAAAACATATAAAATTCATTCTACATAAGTGCACAACTATGGTCTCCTCGAACGCCATCAGTGAAAAGAAAACAAATACAAGAAACAGAGAATGAGGCAGCCAGACCTTTGGAACATAATCTAGCAGATCCATAGCATATGCAATACCAACTATGTTATCAATCCTCTGCTCAAAAACAGGCACCCTGTGAAGAAATTTTTTGAGCATAATGAATAATCCTAAGGGACGAAAAAGGTTCACTAAAGCAGTGACAATTTATAGACCTCGAGTACTGGTGGGTCACCCAAAAGTTATGGAAATCAACCAGGCTGCCGCTGCCATCTATTGCAACTACATCAACAAGAGGAGTCATCACCTCTCGAACATGCGTATCCTTTATCTCTAACACATTTTCAATCATATCCTGCAACATGTATCATTTGAATTATCACAAGTCTATGGTAAAGAGTCCAAAGACTCATCCAAAATCCATATATAACAAACTCATACCTGCTCTTCCTCTTCTATAGCCCCACTTAATTCTGCTCCGCGTAGCATTAGTTTCAATTCATCTTCAGTAACATATGGCTCACTGGCACAAAAAGAAAAATAGACTATAGGTAAGTTGCCCTAACTCTCTTTCAACAAGGAAAAAAGCACACTAATATATTTTGATTTGGACAGACAACTCTTATTTGATACATACCTCCGTCCTTTCAAACAAAGAATTTTCAGAATTCCCATCGAAAGATATGTCACTACTCTTCCAACAGGATATAATATCAAGGAAAGCCAAGCCACTGGTCTGACCTAGATGCATAGCATAGTAAGTAAGTCAACATAAATCAGACTATTTCTTTTATCATGTGAGCATTTGCTGATGATAACTAATTTAAACTTACCACAATCCTTGCAACCTCTTGAGCATTGTGAACCGCTACACTTTTTGGAGACCTAAAGGCTAAAGCCACATAAGATTGCCATATGTGATCCCGAATCATCTATCAAACAAGCTCCCATATTCACTGATCTTTCATTAAGAGCTAACTTCCAATTCTAAATATTATTCAAAAGGACAATATTTGTATAAAATATGGTGTTTTATAAAACAAACTACCATAAATTTGTACAAAATTTGCTTCCATTTACTCTTATGAGCCTCCAACTCAATTCTCGCCAAACTTGTGGCAACCTATTCCTGCCAGTTCCATGTATATTGAACTAGATAAGACCCGCCTAAATAGGCGGATGTGAAAAAATAAATATAATTTTTTGATAATATTTGAAATACAAATAGTATTATACATTTATTTATACTTAATCTAATTTTTTAACCAAATTTCAATCTGACACATTCTATTTTGCAATACAATTTAACTATTTATTTCATGATAAGAAATATTTTAATTCTTCGATAAACTCCATCTTAACGGATAAGAGCTAATAATTTTAATTCTACATATTCCATCTTATTGTTTAAATTTTTTTCCTGATATTTAAATTTTAAATAAAAATCCACAAATTTTTTCTGTATTAATGTTCTAACTCTCATCTCAATTTATCAATTCTATCTAAATACTCTTAAATCATGTAAATTTTTTTTCGAAACTAAATTATTAATTACTATTATGTGAGTTAAACTTTAGATATTAGTAAATTGTCCTAAATGTCTTACTCGAACATGACTATAGATCATCCTCCAAAACAGAGCTGATAAAGAATCTGGAGTTACTTGGAAAGAATATAGATCCATGATGAATTTCACCCATATGGTAGCTTTTTGTTTTCTTATTATATACTTGTTAAAAAAATGAAATTCCAAACTCGTTGCACATCGATTAAGTGATGAAAACATTTAGTTGATTGTTGCAATTGCAGGTTATCAATGAGTCTCTTCGTTTAGGGAGTTTGTCACCTGCTATGTTTAGAAAGGTGGTGAGTGATGTGGAGATCAAAGGCAAGTTTGAGTCTCTCTTTTGCGTCATGAAAATAACTATAAGTTTGTTACCAATGAAAATCGTCTTGTGGTTGCAGGGTATACAATTCCAGCAGGATGGATTGTATTGGTTGTTCCATCTCTTCTTCATTATGACCCTCAAATCTATGAACAACCATGTGAGTTTAATCCATGGAGATGGGAGGGGAAGGAATTGCTTTGTGGCTCTAAAACGTTCATGGCGTTTGGTGGTGGTGCAAGACTATGTGCAGGAGCAGAGTTTGCTAGGCTTGGGATGGCTATATTTCTTCATCATCTAGTCACAACGTATGACTTGTCTTTGATCGATAAATCTTATATCATTCGAGCACCCTTGCTTCGATTCTCCAAGCCGATACGCATAACGATCTCCGAGAATCCTTTAAGTTCATCCCATCAATATGCAAATCTTTTTTAGTATTGTGTTATGAAGATATATCGAAACACGAAAGAGGATACAAAATCTATCTTGTGACATATGTGAAAATACCGTATATATCTTTGTTGTGTTATCCTTAGGAGAAAAAAAACTTTTACTTTATTTTATAAAGATAAATGACGAATTTATATATATAAATATAATCCAAGACTCTTGTGGAATATTCATAGGTATCCTGATCCTAAATAATCTCTGACCCAATGAATCCTCGAGTATATATATATATAATACACAGCCTAATGGAAGATTTTACGTTTCTTTATTTTCCCATTAAATAATTTCCTTCAATGGCGTGGGGATTGCTGGAGGTTGCTCTTTTTGTGATCGGCGGTATATTCTACTTAATCCTATTGGCTCTTCTATACCTAATTTTTAAACTAGGTTTAATTGAGGAACATAGATCTTCGTCGGAAGCCAAGAACTGCATATGCACATGCAACCACTGTCCGGACTATCATGAGGATATCGAGGAAGCACTTAGTAAATCCAATCCAAGTTCAAGCATATTACCATTATCTAAGGATTAGCCATAGATTATTGGTGTTATTTTTTGCACCAAAAAAAAAATAGATTGGTGTTATTTTAGACTCTTTTTACTTCTATTTAGACCTTTTTTTTTATGAAAAAATATATCTATATGTATGGTCAAAAATATTAAGCTTGCCACACATAGATGAATAGTTGTGTGTGTGATATTTTGACCTGCGAGTGAGGGAAATGAGCTTCTTCCTATGTTGTGTGTGTGACTTGGATCAAGAGCTGCATCAACCTGAATAATTCAAAATCATTGATTGTAACACGGATCAGTTTTTTTTTTTTTTTTTTGCTAAGAGAGTAAATATCAATAGATGAAAGTTTTGGTCTTACAATATATAAGACCTAGAAGCATGAACCTTGCCAAAAAAGTTAAAAAATAAGGATACATTAAAGAGTACACAATAACAATTAAGGAAAGAAACCGATCCTTAGTTGAGCCATAAGGCCATGAGCTTCCTGAAATTCTTTATCTTTCTCCTGGCTGTAATAGAATTGATGATGAGCCGGTCAATTTCCTTGAAGATATTTAGCGGCGGGATTGCAATTTGGTTGTAGATGAGATTGTTTCTCTGTCGCCATATAGCGTAGACAATCGCCTGAATTAGTAGTAACCGAAGCGTATTTGGCGTCGCATTTGTTCCCCCTTTTGCGCATGCCATTAACCCGGACCAGTCTGCAAAAACCATTGGTGGAAGCCTTAGCTTTGCAAAACCTGAGTCCCAGAGAACCTGTGCAAAAGGGCAGTGAAGAAAGAGGTGGTCTCTTGTTTCCACTGACCCAACGCAGAGACAACAATCTGTGGAGATTTGCAGTCCCCACGAAGCCAGCCTTGATCTGGTGGGCAGCCTATTTAGGTTTGTTACCCACATGTGGAAAGTCTGCTTTGGTGTAGAGCCTTTAAACCAAACCAAAGCAGCCCAGTCTTTCTCTGCCTTTCTAGGTCGAAGAATCTCCCAAGTTTTGCTAGAAGAAAAACCCTGACATAGCTTATCATCAACATACCAATCAAATTGATCATTCACCTGTGAATCGCTTGGTAAGTGGATAGTTGACAAGTATATTTGCAAGCTAAGAGCCTGATCAGATCTTGGAGAAGCAAGACGCCACCCTTCAATATTACAAGCGTCGGAGACTCTTGCATTTCGCGGTATTCTCAGGTTCATGGGACCATTTTCACCCAGATAGTCCAACAGAGGACCAAAAGGAGTCCAATTTTCATGCCAGAACCATGTTTTTGTGCCATTGCCAATGCTGCATTTGATAAAACGTTTTGCCAAGTGTCTCAGCTTTAGGAGGCTTGTCCATAACCAGGAATCAGATGCTTTTGCCTTAACATCCCAGAAACTAACAGATGCTAACTCATGGTGGTGATGTTGCCAGGCGACCCATAAGGAACCGCTGTTTGAGAAGAGTAGCCAGATGAGCCTGAGGCACAAGGTAGTGTTCCAAACAGAGAGTCTGCATATTCCCAAGCCACCTTCGCTTTTTGGTAAGCAAACATTTGACCAAGCAATTTTGGCCCTGCTGTGATTATCAATATTTCCGGACCAAAGGAACCTCGAACAAAGTGATTCAATTTTCCTGATACATCCTTTTGGAAGCATGAAAGAGGAAACCCAAAAGTTGATAGTGCCATAGATCACAGACTTTAGTAGTTGCGTTCTACCAGCAAAGGAGAGAGATTTAGTTGCCCAGCCCCTAAACTTGTTTGTGATCTTCTCCAAGAGAGGAGAATACTCGTTTATTCTAAGCTTCCTTGACATTAGAGGCAGTCCTAAATAGCGCACTGGGAGAGTGCCAGAGGGGAAGCCATAGTGTGCAATCTCATATTCAGCCCTTGGTGACAGTCCTGCATGGAAAAGTAAGGTCTTTTCTCTATTCATTGTAAGCCCAGACCACCCAGCAAAGTCATCCAAAACCTCATAAATACCCTGCAGAGATGAACTGCTCCCATCGAAAAACACCATTACATCGTCGGCAAACATTAAGTGTGAAATATCCAGAGCAGATGTCTTTGGGTGATAAGAGATGTAACCTGATTCAAAACGTGAGAGGAGCAGTCTAGAGAAGACCTCCATTGCCAAAACAAAGAGGTATGGGGATAGGGGATCACCCTGCCTCAACCCCTTTGTGCTCTTGAAAAACCCATCTGACGAACCGTTTACTGAAATGGAGAAGGATGGGGTGCAAACACATTCTCTAATCCACCCGATAAACTTTTCTGGAATACCCAAAGCTGACAGAGTAGATAAAACGAAATCCCATCTTACTGTGTCAAAAGCTTTCCTGAGGTCAATTTTTAGCATTGCTCTTGGTTCAATGTTCCTCCTATTATAGCCTTGAACAATTTCTGAAGCCAGCAGCACATTTTCGGACAGAAGTCTACCAGGCATGAAAGCTGACTGTGAATGGGATATTACCGAAGGTAAGATTGATTTCAGCCTAAAAGCCAAGAGCTTAGATATAACCTTGTAGATGGTGTTTAGGCATGAGATTGGTCTGAAATCAGAAACCTTGGATGCATTCAGAATTTTGGGAATAAGCACTAGGCAAGTTGCGTTCCACTATTTGAGCAGCTTTCCTGAGGAGAAGAATTCAGAAACAGCAGCAGTGACCTCGACACCCACAACGCTCCAACAACTGATGAAGAACTCCGCCGAATACCCATCAGGCCCAGAACACTTATTCCTAGGAAGTGAGAAAAAAGCATCCTTTATCTCCTCCTTGGTGAACATAGCATCAAGACTAACTCTCTGAACATAGGAGCACTCAAAGTTGAGAATGGCTTTAATGTCTTCCTGAACAAACAGACTATGCGGTATATCACCTCCCAAAAGATCTATAAAAAACTCAACGCAATGAGATTTAATACCATGCTGCGATGCAATACGGTTACCAGCGTCATCATCAAGGAAATGGATATGGTTTATTGATTGCCTTGTTGCTGCCATACGATGAAAATAAGAACTGTTTTGATCCCCCTCTGCTAGCCAAGTTATGCTAGAAGTCTGATAGAAAAAGCTTTTTTCCGCCTTGGAAAGAGTATCCCACTTCCCAGCAGCTTCAATTTCAAGGCCTACGTTGACAATAGAAGGGCTAGAGAGCATTCTTACTTGCGAAGCTGACAGAACCTCAAGGGCCTCCTTAACTCTTTTCTCAAGATTTGAGTAGTTTTCTCTGCTGAAATCCCTAATGATCTTCTTTAGATCCCTGAGCTTTGCAGAAACTCTGTACATATCAGAACCGACCACATTGATAGAATGCCAGCTTTCACAGGTAAGAGGAAGGAAATTCTGGTTTTTAAGCAGAAAATTGAAGAATTTAAAAGGTTTTTTTCTGTCTGGGATCCGCTGGATTTAACGAAATAGAACCTGGAGAATGATCAGAGAAAATTGGAGCTCCAAAAAAACCCGTTGAAAGCGGAAATAGTGCCTGCCACTCATCATTTACTAGGATTCTATCAAGCTTTTTTGCGACAGGACTGGCTCTTCTCTTATTCCACCAGGTGAAAGAACTGCCTCTGTAAACTAGATCCATGAGAGAAGCTTGCAACAAAGAATCACTGAACTCCCTCATAGCTCTATCAATATTCATGTCAATACGAGTTGAATGGTCAGCCGGTTCTAAGATTTGATTGAAGTCCCTCAAAACAGCCCAGGCTTTCCCAGACATACTCTGTCTCGATGCTTGGCAAACAATTTCACCCCATAGTGACCTTCTCGATGCTTCCACATTAGACGCATAGACAAAAGACACAACAAAACTCACAGGATTTTCTGGAAACTGGACCTCGCAGGTAATCATTTGAAGAGATTTACTAATAACAGCCACCTTTACACTCGGGTGCCAAAGGATCCAGATCTTGCCCAATTCAGAAAAAGAGTAGTTTTCTTCAAAATGCCAGCCAGGAAGAAGAGAGTTAACAAACTTACCAATCTTTGCCTGCTTGACTTGTGTCTCAATGAGACTACCAAAAATAGGTCTATTACCGTGTACACCATTTTTTAAATCCGCTCCGGTGTGATTGCTTATTGAATCCGCAGACATTCCAACAAAATATGTCTCTATACATAGACATTACTGGGTTTTAGGGCCATAGCCCCTGGAGTTTCGCCGATTTCTCTTTGAAACTACTTCCAAGTATTCGTGCTCTTCCTCGGATAAGATGTCATCCTCAGATATCTCACCTTCCTCACTTGAAACAGCGTCTGACGAATCAGGCTCAGCCTCAGACACCTTACCATTCTCGTTATCAACACTCATAACCACAGCTTTTTTCCCTGCAGCTTTGCTTGAGTCTCCTAATAACAGCACCAAATGGCCAACAGCTGGCTTGTCAGCTTGTGTCCCCAGCTTTGGTTTCTCCCTGTAAATATTTTCCTTATCCTGATCAATAATTGCAGGGTGAGAACTAGCCTCAACAGGCAGTTTTTTTACGAAAGATACATTACCGAGAACTTTTGACAAATCAATCTGAGAATGAAAAAGCAGAGGTGAATGTAATATATAAAGGAGGCGCCGGTTTGAAGAGAAGCAACACTTACTTTGCCCTCTGCTGTCATCTGATAAAGACTACTTCCAAAGGAAACACGAACCTTAAGACCATCAAGGTAGCAGAGTAAAAAAGATCAATCTCTTGCTCACGATTCTCATCACCCTTGTTACTATCTCGCTCCTCCATGTCTCATCTTCTTCTTCTTCTTCCTCTACTGTTGAACATTCTTTCTTTCTTGTTTTCATACATTCTTGTTCCAGCACCCACAGTATCTCGGGAGGTTTCATGTTTAAGACTTTGGTGATTCTACCTTGCATGATGAGAAAGTGTGGATTGTTGACATTATTAAGCTGCACAGAGTGGAAAAGATTCTGGACTTGACTAGGTTGTGCAAGCTTCCCATTTATCAAATGCTTGTTACTACCACTAACTGCAATCTTTGACACCATAAAATACATCACTGTGAGTGTGAGCAAATATAAAAGAACCATTCCACCATATCCTTAATATTATCCATCACAAGATTGAGACCGAGTAGATTCGTGTGGTTATACCCAGTTAAAGTGAGAGGATTAGGATCAGTGTTACCTTTTGACACGATTACTTTCTACAATAATCTTCAGGTCCAAAGTAAAAACCAGCATGCAGTCTCCTTGTTAGCCACAAAGAAAAAGAAATTTATCTGCTTTTGGCTTTTGGCTTTCCGTCTTAAATCTTTATGTAGCAGCATCGGCTTCCATGATTTGGTTTGAGGAAATGCAACGATCATTTATTCACACTCGAAGAATCAGGAACGTATTTTAGTCGAACCATAACCTTCTCAGCTGCCTCCCATTTTAGAAAAAAACAGCGAGTAGACCCTGGCATGTTTGAAATACTTAGCTTACAAGCACAAATGCTTTTGTCGTCAGCCCTTCTTTAAGGAAAGCACTAATGATAACACTGTACATTATGTTGTCAGCAGTAGCCTCATTGAATATAGCAAACATTTCAGATCTTCTATCCATTTGATCATATACCCGTTTAGAAGAGATGTGTAGACAACAACATTAGGCATCAGGTTCGCCTTTTTATTATTTGGTTACTTACTTGATAATTATTCAGTTAGTTTTCCATTTTTTATTTTATTTTTTCTTAATTAAATTTAAATTTTAACACATATCATCAGCCCGATTATATTATGTAAAAAGCTATATAATTGGGTGACAAAAAAAAACTATATTATGTAATATATAAAGGGTTATTTTATAATAACCCAAGAAAATTTATATATATAATAGGAGAGTTCTCTCTCCTCTTAGGGTGTCCACATCATCACCAAATTAATATGATGGATCCCACCAATAATTATTTTAAAATATTTAATTTTATAGTTAATTACATCTAATTATCTAAGAAGTAATTTTCAATTAATGCATAATTTTAAATAAAGGTTATTTGTTATTTGAATAATAATAACACAAGTGTAACATATATACATATAAAACACTTAAAATTAAATTTTTGCTAATATATAACTTAAAATGAACATAATCCCTAAATATATAATTAACAAATAAAAAATAATAATGAAAAGTCATAGAAATACCAATGTTATTTAATATGGGCAAAATGATTCTTAATGAAATTTACTATACAAGTAATTTTCAATTAATGCATAATTTTAAATAAAGGTTACTTGAATAATAATAACACAAGTGTAACATATATACATATAAAACACTTAAAATTAAATTTTTGCTAATATATAACTTAAAATGAACATAATCCCTAAATATATAATTAAGAAATTAGAAAATAATAATGCAAATTTCATAGAAATACCAATGTTATTTAAGAGGGCAAAATGATTCTTAATGAAATTTATTATACAATCTATATATATAATATGAGAGTTCTCTCTCCTCTTAGGGTGTCCACATCATCACCAAATTAATATGATGGATCCCACCAATAATTATTTTAAAATATTTAATTTTATAGTTAATTACATCTAATTATCTAAGAAGTAATTTTCAATTAATGCATAATTTAAAATAAAGGTTATTTGTTATTTGAATAATAATAACACAAGTGTAACATATATACATATAAAACACTTAAAATTAAATTTTTGCTAATATATAACTTAAAATGAACATAATCCCTAAATATATAATTAAAAAATAAAAAATAATAATGAAAAGTCATAGAAATACCAATGTTATTTAATATGGGCAAAATGATTCTTAATGAAATTTACTATACAAGTAATTTTCAATTAATGCATAATTTTAAATAAAGGTTACTTGAATAATAATAACACAAGTGTAACATATATACATATAAAACACTTAAAATTAAAATTTTGCTAATATATAACTTAAAATGAACATAATCCCTAAATATATAATTAAGAAATTAGAAAATAATAATGCAAATTTCATAGAAATACCAATGTTATTTAAGAGGGCAAAATGATTCTTAATGAAATTTATTATACAATTACAAAAAATAATAACTTATTAAAAATAAAAAAATAAAAAACGTTTAAAAACTATCATTTTTTGAGATTAATAAGGAGACCTCAAATATAATTTAGGATGAACAAAAGAATTGAATTGAATTGAAATGGAAGACTATAAGAGTTTTTTTTTAATAATAAGAAGATATTCATATTTGTTGGAAACATTAACTTGAAGAGATGATAATGAAGTGGAAGAAATCTATTTAAAATAGTATATTTTTAGATTAAAAATAAATGGTTAAATGTTATAGTAAACTTATGATTGTATAAGTTTTCTTAAGATATAAGAAATAATTCATTTTTAAAATTGGAAATTATATTTCAAGAAAGTAAAAGTATAAATTCACATTGACGAAAAAATAGAAAGATTGATTGTATCTTAATATTAAATTATAGTAAATATATAACAACTAAAATAATATAGTTATATTTATATTATTGTTTTCTTTCTAGATAAAAAAAAGTGAAAATATTTAAATATAGGTAAAAATTTAAATAAGTGTTGAGACAATTTTCATAAATATATATCTTCCGTAAAAGTATATTACACTCAAACATGAAAATTATATAATTAAAAGAAGAAGAAAATGAGAAAATAGTTTTAAGTTAAGAATGAATTCAAAGTTTTATTATATGTAAATGAGCATATAAGATAAAAGAAGAGTAGATGTTGGGAGGCAAACAAGTGCATCATAGAAGATGACGAAAAAATGATAGAAAAAAATGTTTGAAGAGGAATTGACTAATGCTTGAAGCATCGGATATATGTATGCACATGACTTAAGTAAATTCATCGGATATATTGATGCACTATCGGATAGTTTGATTTAGTAAACCAGACTATCATATTCAACATTGAGTTAAATCATTGAACCATGTAATAAAGTGTTGTAGGATAGATAAGATAAGATAAGGACATTCATGATTTTATCAAAAAATTTCTTAATGCATGATTGTCTTGCTTCAATAGGTAAATTGTGCTCTCCAAATCTATTGAAGCAGCATGAATATTACGTTTATACATTTTCATAAAATTGATATTCAAACTCAGCAAATTTACTTTTATTATGGGGTATGATTATGTTAAAATTTCGAGATAGATATACTTACAAGATTTGATTATGGAATAAACTCTCTTTTTGACAAAAGTTCATGGATGACTACCGAGACCAATTCATCTGATATTACTTTTGTTATTACGTGGTATATACTAAATATTTTTGATAATTTTTATGTTGTGTACTGTTTTGTAAAACAAGTATGAATATGTATAGTTTTGAAATTCAAATGATTATAATTATTTTTAACATTTTGTATTGTTGCCAGTTTAAAGTTGATATCCCACGCAACGCGCGGACGAGTAAATCTAGTAATAATAATTAAGCAACTAACTGATATTAGCATATGTGGCATAATCATGACCATTAGATTTAGGTTAATTGGTTAGATTTTTAGTTATTTTTCGGATTATTCACACAAATTCCCATAAATAAAAAGGTGATTTTTGTAATAACCAAAAAAAATTATAACTCATAAATAATTTTTTTTTAGTTTTGTAGTTATTTTTACAAAATCACAGGAAATCACCAGAAACACAATCCTTAGAATTCGAAGTTTCACAAGCATGCCACAGAGCATCGGAATCAATCCGCCGGCAGAGAAAGATACTAATGCAATAAGCGAGTCCAAGATGGTGTACTTCCAATTCACTGAAAGAGAGATCAAATAAACCCAAAAAAAAAAAGAAATTAGGGATTCTTGTAGAAAAAATACATTTTTTTTTAGAAAATCTTACGAAAATGCTATACTTTATACCAAATACCAAATATATGTATTTACTACTTTTTTTGTGCAAAATACATACTTTATACCAAATACTAAACCCTAAAAACAAATAGAATAGACTAAACCCAAACATAAAGAGTAATACTAATGTTAACTGTTAAATCATTTTTTTGTTGCTTGAAAAATGGCAAATCCACAAACTATTCAAAAAAATGGCACACTCAACAAAGATTATTCAAAAAATGGCAAATTCATAATTGATTCAAAAAATTATGTAACCACTTTGGGGACCTAAAGGCTAAAGCCACATAAGATTGCCATATGTGATCCCGAATCATCTATCAAACAAGCTCCCATAAACAAGCTTTCATTAAGAGCTAACTTCCAATTCTAAATATTATTCAAAAGGACAATATTTGTATAAAATATGGTGTTTTATAAAACAAACTACCATAAATTTGTACAAAATTTGCTTCCATTTACTCTTATGAGCCTCCAACTCAATTCTCGCCAAACTTGTGGCAACCTATTCCTGCCAGTTCCATGTATATTGAACTAGATAAGACCCGCCTAAATAGGCGGATGTGAAAAAATAAATATAATTTTTTGATAATATTTGAAATACAAATAGTATTATACATTTATTTATACTTAATCTAATTTTTTAACCAAATTTCAATCTGACACATTCTATTTTGCAATACAATTTAACTATTTATTTCATGATAAGAAATATTTTAATTCTTCGATAAACTCCATCTTAACGGATAAGAGCTAATAATTTTAATTCTACATATTCCATCTTATTTTTAAATTTTTTTCCTGATATTTAAATTTTAAATAAAAATCCACAAATTTTTTCTGTATTAATGTTCTAACTCTCATCTCAATTTATCAATTCTATCTAATACAATTTAACTATTTATTTCATGATAAGAAATATTTTAATTCTTCGATAAACTCCATCTTAACGGATAAGAGCTAATAATTTTAATTCTACATATTCCATCTTATTGTTTAAATTTTTTTCCTGATATTTAAATTTTAAATAAAAATCCACAAATTTTTTCTGTATTAATGTTCTAACTCTCATCTCAATTTATCAATTCTATCTAAATACTCTTAAATCATGTAAATTTTTTTTTGAAACTAAATTATTAATTACTATTATGTGAGTTAAACTTTAGATATTAGTAAATTGTCCTAAATGTCTTACTCGAACATGACTATAGATCATCCTCCAAAACAGAGCTGATAAAGAATCTGGAGTTACTTGGAAAGAATATAGATCCATGATGAAATTCACCCATATGGTAGCTTTTTGTTTTCTTATTATATACTTGTTAAAAAAATGAAATTCCAAACTTGTTGTCGTTGCACATCGATTAAGTGATGAAAACATTTAGTTGATTGTTGCAATTGCAGGTTATCAATGAGTCTCTTTGTTTAGGGAGTTTGTCACCTGCTATGTTTAGAAAGGTGGTGAGTGATGTGGAGATCAAAGGCAAGTTTGAGTCTCTCTTTTGCGTCATGAAAATAACTATAAGTTTGTTACCAATGATCTAATTCAAAATCGTGTTGTGGTTGCAGGGTATACAATTCCAGCAGGATGGATTGTATTGGTTGTTCCATCTCTTCTTCATTATGACCCTCAAATCTATGAACAACCATGTGAGTTTAATCCATGGAGATGGGAGGGGAAGGAATTGCTTTGTGGCTCTAAAACGTTCATGGCGTTTGGTGGTGGTGCAAGACTATGTGCAGGAGCAGAGTTTGCTAGGCTTGGGATGGCTATATTTCTTCATCATCTAGTCACAACGTATGACTTGTCTTTGATCGATAAATCTTATATCATTCGAGCACCCTTGCTTCGATTCTCCAAGCCGATACGCATAACGATCTCCGAGAATCCTTTAAGTTCATCCCATCAATATGCAAATCTTTTTTAGTATTGTGTTATGAAGATATATCGAAACACGAAAGAGGATACAAAATCTATCTTGTGACATATGTGAAAATACCGTATATATCTTTGTTGTGTTATCCTTAGGAGAAAAAAAACTTTTACTTTATTTTATAAAGATAAATGACGAATTTATATATATAAATATAATCCAAGACTCTTGTGGAATATTCATAGGTATCCTGATCCTAAATAATCTCTGACCCAATGAATCCTCGAGTATATATATATATATATATATATATATAATACACAGCCTAATGGAAGATTTTACGTTTCTTTATTTTCCCATTAAATAATTTCCTTCAATGGCGTGGGGATTGCTGGAGGTTGCTCTTTTTGTGATCGGCGGTATATTCTACTTAATCCTATTGGCTCTTCTATACCTAATTTTTAAACTAGGTTTAATTGAGGAACATAGATCTTCGTCGGAAGCCAAGAACTGCATATGCACATGCAACCACTGTCCGGACTATCATGAGGATATCGAGGAAGCACTTAGTAAATCCAATCCAAGTTCAAGCATATTACCATTATCTAAGGATTAGCCATAGATTATTGGTGTTATTTTAGACTCTTTTTTACTTCTATTTAGACCTTTTTTCCTACTTCTCTTTTTTTTTCTATATGTATGGTCAAAAATATTAAGCATGCCACACATAGATGAATAGTTTTTGGAATTACTGTATATTAATCGATTATATATGATTCGATTGAGGTATGAAGCCGATCGATCACTTGGTCGGCTTTGTTACTGTCCGAGCTTGAGATAGATATTTTGACCTGCGAGTGAGGGAAATGAGCTTCTTCCTATGTTGTGTGTGTGACTTGGATCAAGAGCTGCATCAACCTGAATAATTCAAAATCATTGATTGTAACACGGATCAGTTTTTTACGAAAGATACATTACCGACAACTTTTGACAAATCAATCTGAGAATGAAAAAGCAGAGGTGAATGTAATATATAAAGGAGGCGCCGGTTTGAAGAGAAGCAACACTTACTTTGCCCTCTGCTGTCATCTGATAAAGACTACTTCCAAAGGAAACACGAACCTTAAGACCATCAAGGTAGCAGAGTAAAAAAGATCAATCTCTTGCTCACGATTCTCATCACCCTTGTTACTATCTCGCTCCTCCATGTCTCATCTTCTTCTTCTTCTTCCTCTACTGTTGAACATTCTTTCTTTCTTGTTTTCATACATTCTTGTTCCAGCACCCACAGTATCTCGGGAGGTTTCATGTTTAAGACTTTGGTGATTCTACCTTGCATGATGAGAAAGTGTGGATTGTTGACATTATTAAGCTGCACAGAGTGGAAAAGATTCTGGACTTGACTAGGTTGTGCAAGCTTCCCATTTATCAAATGCTTGTTACTACCACTAACTGCAATCTTTGACACCATAAAATACATCACTGTGAGTGTGAGCAAATATAAAAGAACCATTCCACCATATCCTTAATATTATCCATCACAAGATTGAGACCGAGTAGATTCGTGTGGTTATACCCAGTTAAAGTGAGAGGATTAGGATCAGTGTTACCTTTTGACACGATTACTTTCTACAATAATCTTCAGGTCCAAAGTAAAAACCAGCATGCAGTCTCCTTGTTAGCCACAAAGAAAAAGAAATTTATCTGCTTTTGGCTTTTGGCTTTCCGTCTTAAATCTTTATGTAGCAGCATCGGCTTCCATGATTTGGTTTGAGGAAATGCAACGATCATTTATTCACACTCGAAGAATCAGGAACGTATTTTAGTCGAACCATAACCTTCTCAGCTGCCTCCCATTTTAGAAAAAAAACAGCGAGTAAACGAATCATCAATGAGCACGTACCCTGCTTCTCCAATTTGTCACAGAACCAAACCTTGAACTCAAACCAAACCTTGAACTCAGCCTCTGAACTCAAGATTCCATGCAAGAACCCTAACCCCTTGTTTACTGGTGGTTCAGCCCCAGCGACGCTCACAGGCCTCGACTCGTTCTGTTCTTCAGATCAGATGGTTCTCAGAGCTCTACTCAGTCAGCTCACTAAGATCGACGGAAGCCTCGGGGCTAAAGAATCACAGAGTTATGGAGAAGGTAGCTCGGAGAGCCTGTTGACCGACATTGGTATTCCAAGCAGTGCTTGGAATTGCTGATGATCGAGTGTAACCAGAGTTACTATTGCTATATTCATATCCATGATTGGAACAATTCTTCGGGGGGAAATAACGTTTGCGTGTCTGATTGTACAAACATTTCCTCACTCTTGTACTCAGTAGATTCATGTAAAATACCACTTATGACGTTATACATATATATATATATATATATATATATTTCATCGTAGTTCCATTTGTTTCAAGGTATTAGGGACCTCTAGAACAATTGATCAAAAAGATAAATATGAAACATCACTACCTGTGGACATGATGGGATAGGTGATTGCATAGCCAAGGCAGTGGTTCCTGAAACAGAATTTGAATAAATCAAAATCAATTTTCGGAACAAAAACCGAAAATAACAAGTTTTCTCGGTAGGAACATATTTTGAATCCTTTGAGTCTACCAATGCACATAGATTCATCAACTTAAAGGCATTCATCCAGTATGTACATCAAATAAGCAGAAACTGTCAAGATAATTGACGTTGCTTACTTTCGTAGATGTTGCCAATCGAATCCATCAATAAGCACCGCGAATGGCACTTTCATCGATAGAACTGCGCTGGCTATCATTTCTCAAGGAACAAAGTAGAGATTTAGAAGATCACATGATATTCCGATATGTATCTGTTTCATCGGCGGATAGAGTTCACGAGGAACACTGTCGTTGTCATTTTACATGATTCTAGTAGAATCTTTATATAAATGTATATATTACTCTGTTTAGGTATTGGGGATACACTCAATATGGTACCTATAAGAAGCTAGAAGTCTGCAAAAGCTTTGACGCTGCAGCTAAGCCACTGAGAATGGCTCCTTCGACATTTGGGCTGACACAGAAATCTCCACAGATTGCTAGATTCCTGTTTCTATCCCAAAGGCACCTCTCCTCTACGGCTATGCTTTTGGCTGGAAATGCACTTCCCCTAGAGAGAACAGATCATTAAGCTGACAAGCGAAGCGATTAACAGAAGGACTAAGAGTCAGGACGCTTACCATCTGTGGGCTTTCATGAAAAAGGGGAGAGAACTAACAAGGCCTGAGCACTGAAACTCTTTGAACATCTCTTCAGATATTTTGTTTAGTGTTTCACTGGATAGCTTTTGGAGGCCGGTCTTGGCAATAACACTGTTGTCATAGTCTGGAGTAGAATGCAGTATCCATCTTTCACTAAAAAAATCAAGATAATAACACTCAGAATTTAGAACGCTCAAGCAATCTTACCCCATAAATTTGGTTGCAACTTCTCAAATATTGTAATTTCACATTTTTGTTTTGGTTAGTGAAGCGATCTACCTATCAGTAGACCGTCCAGGCTTGGTGCTATCACAGTGAGCCCAGCTCAAAATCTCTGAATTCTTGAAAGATAAGCCCTTTACTGGTATCTGATTCAAGAATCATAGAGTATTCAAAACGACAGAAATTAGCTACGGCTTTCACTAGATTACTGTTTCTGCAAACTTACGTAGATCAGTAGATGAACCCAAATACTTTTGTTATTGGATTGATCAACCAACATTGATTACAGACTGGACAAGAAAATATCTTACCGAAGACAACGGCTCCTTGAAAGCTAGCATAAGAGAGAAGCATGGTGGAACAGGAATATTTTGCAGCTTAGTCGCCAACTCTGGGACTAGACTTAAGTCTGTGTTAGGAAAGCAAATAAAAGTGAATAGAGATAAATGTGATATAACATTGAAACAGGAACTGCAGGAGCACTCAGTTTGTGCAAGTCTTACCCAGAGGCGGTGAGAGTCCGGTTACTTGAGTAAACCTGGGAGAAACAATGTTTTTATCTGATGCAACAACTCCATCGAAACGACCCAAATTTTCTCCTTTTGAATCTGTCAACAACCATGGTATCTCTTCTTCCAACCATTCCAGCTTGGCAATACCAGTTCCAAACATACTTTTAACACCTACAATGAAGATCACAAAGGTTGATTACAGAGACTGACGTTTCAGAGCTTTGAGTTAAATGTCTCGACTAGAAAGACTAGAAAAAAATACCTGACTCGTTACACAAGGCCTTAGATATAGAGTTCATGCCCGGAACACCCACATACTTCTTTGCATCCCCTTCCTAGACAGTAGAACACATTAAAATCAGAAAAACCTCAAACGCCAAGATGAATCATAAAAGGAAAATTATTGACTACTTGGTATGAATCAATCCTAGTATCAAGTATCTTCCAAATGCATATACTGAAACAAGTAGATCACACTTCATAATCTACTACAGTTTTAAAATAAGCACAAAGACTGATGTTTCAAAACCTGTTGGATGCCAAGAAACTTGTTGGAGGCATAATCGAAACTCCTAAAAACTTGTTTCCATTCAGAAACAAAACCCCTGGACTCCCACTCATGAACAAGAGCCATTGCATCAGAGTTGCCCACACAGAAAAATGGAGCTCCATGGTCGAACATCAACTCCTTCCCATCTTCTCCAATCTCTCTGCTTAAACGAGACATCACCATTCATAGTTAAACACTTTTCAACTGAAAAAGGAACATTCTTTATCAAAAGACTCGAACGTATAATCTGGGGAAAAGCAACCTCCTTTGAGACATGCGTCCACGACCAGAGTCGAAGATAGTGACGGAGACGCCATTCCTTGCCAAAGTCGATGCACACACGGCTCCAGAAACTGCTCCGAATTGAATAATCGAAAACTTATATTCATAAAGGAAACCCAAAAACGAAATCTAAGAATGAAATTGAGAAACTAGGCCACATTCCAGCTATCTCTTTCGCATACTTGTCCGCAGATGCAAAATCCCCTGCCTCTATAAATCCACTGATAAAAGCCCCATAGGTCGACCAGATAGGACCTTGGAAAGGCCAATTATAAGGGAATGGTAGCAAAACAAGTGTCTGGTACGATTATCCCATAAAAGAGAGCCTTTGCCTTCTCCATGGCACAAACAAAAGAATCATAAATCCTAGGATCAATGCTAATTCCACCATCAACCTGTGAAAATCAAATACCACATTCCTCTCAACCAATCCCATTATACACATCGCAAAACAAATCCTCTTGGAACCAATCCCAATTTCATAGAGCTAGAAAATCACAAAAACAGCTTCATCTAAAAACCCAAAATTTTCAGTATACGCATCAATCAAAATCCATCATCACTAACATCGATCGACGTTCCACTGCTTGAGTGATGCGTCGTCGGGATCGGAAAAGCTTGAGGATCCTTAACAATGTTGATCGGAAAGAAGCGATTTTCATTGATTTTAGGATTTTAGGATTTTGATAATATATAAAGAAAAAAGAATGAAAATAAAAAACAGTAAAAAAACGTTTTCATTGATTTTACACTCTTTCTTTTTTAGTATTACAAACAACGATCATCCCCAGTAACAATCTATGAACTCTTTACCTCTGTGTACCCGAAATTAACATCCCCAGTAACGAAAGAGTTCATAGATTGTTACTGGGGATGATCGTTGTTTGTAATACTAAAAAAGAAAGAGTCTTTCTCTCTGTGTGTAAACTTGCTCTGTTTCTTCTGTTCATGGAACGAAGAAGATGAATCATTTATATCTTGGGCGTCCGGTAAATTTGGGCCACTGTTATTTGGGCCGTATAGTGGTTAGTGAAGCCCATTTAGCTATGTAATTATTACAAATGAGTCATTTAATTTAATCATATTTATTGTTAGAGTCAATACTTAATTCTCTTTACCATATTGGAACTAATCTTTTGTTTCGATCAAAAGGCATGTTTTAAAATTTAAAATGAGACTTTCATTTATTTTTTTATTCGATCATTTGCTCTCTTTTTTCTTTTTCTTAATTGATATTTATATTCTCTCTATTTTCTATTCTTCTTCTTTTCTTTTTTTTTTTTAATCCGTTTGAATTATTAAAAATATTATTTTTTCTCTAATAATTTTGGACTATTAGAAATTTTCCTCTTTTCAGAATTAGTTTTGGACTATTGAAACTTTCCTACTTTATTATTTGATTATTTACTTGAAAATTATTTTGTTAGTTTTCCATTTTAATTCGGTTTGAATACTAAATTTTTTTTCCCCTAATAACTTTGGACTATTAGAAAAATTTCTTCATAATTAGTTTTGTACTATTAGAATTTTCCTATTTTATTATTTGGTTACTTACTTGATAATTATTCAGTTAGTTTTCCATTTTTGATTTTATTTTTTCTTAATTAAATTTTAATTTTAACACATATCATCAGCCCGATTATAGTTATTTTTCGATGATTTTGTAAAAAGCTATATAATTGGGTGACAAAAAAAACTATATAATGTAATATATAAAGGGTTATTTTATAATAACCCAAGAAAAGAATAATAATTAAGCAACTAACTGATATTAGCATATGTGGCATAATCATGACCATTAGATTTAGGTTAATTGGTTAGATTTTTAGTTATTTTTCGGATTATTCACACAAATTCCCATAAATAAAAAGGTGATTTTTGTAATAACCAAAAAAATGAGAACTCATAATCTAGCCAAAATCCCTAAATCTAAGTACTGAGATTTAGCCACACAGGCCATTTTTGGCTAGTTTATAAATTATAATTTTTAACCAATTAACACTAAAAAAAACTGCGAGAAAAAATCGCCAGAAAACATAAAAGTGGAATATTCATAGTTATCCTAATCCTAATTAATCTCTAACGTAATGAATCCTAATTGTATCGGTGAGCGTGTATATATTACACATACACTGCCTAATGAAATATA